TTCCTCTGCCTTTTCTAAAACCAGCTTGAACATCTGGAAGTTCACGGTTCACGTATTGCTGAAGCCTGGCTTGGAGAATTTTGAGCATTACTTTACTAGCATGTGAGATGAGTGCGATTGTGCAGTAGTTTGAGTATTCTTTGGCATTGCCTTTCCTAGGGATTGGAATGAAAACTGACCTTTTCCAATAAGGTCCTACCTAATAGGCCCCTTAGGCTCACTTCCGTAAAGAAAAGATGCTTGGCTTAGTCTGCAATCAGGTCAAGGAGTCAACTTGTAAATCTCCTGACTGTCCTCACTCTCCTTCACAAAATCTTGTTCTCAGGAAGTAGTTTAATCTAATATGATTCTAGATCAACATTACATCTCCTAAGAATATATATGTTTTGAAGAAATGTGGAATTAAAATTTGTGACACTATTTGAAGGAATGCCAAGCATCAATAGCAGGTGGGGGTAGGGTGGGGAGAAATTATATTTGGGATGAAGAAACTTTCCTGATCAAAGAGCAGAATTGAGCAATATTTGCAAAACACGCATAAAATTCATGAGCATGTTACTTTGCTTACTTGTGCCTCTTCATGAATCTCTGGGGAAAACAGAAGAAATAGGATATAATTTTTACACAAAGAGAACTTGTAATCTAGATAGGAAGATAAGAAACCTACTCAAGAAAGAAATGAGAACAAGCCTTTAAGTATTTCTTTTCATGTACTCCCTAAAAGAATATGAAAAATGATATATTCTATTATATATTATGTTGACATCTAGATTTCAAAATTCTAAGTGTAAGTAGTTGTTAAGGATATATAACTTCCAGTATATTTAAATATCAATATTTAAAAATAACACTATAATACCACTCTTATTAATCTAAAATTAATATCATAGGAATTTGATACTCTCATTTTTCAATTTTAAAAGTACATGAGCAAGCTCTTTTTTCTTTTTAACAGATGGAAATTAATATTATTCATTTTCTCCTTGAATTCATATTTCCATTTCAATTTCCCATAGTTTTATCATAATGTAATAGAACTTTCTGGTTGGCAGTCTTTTATTGATTATCTTATCATATTTCTCTGCATCAAAAATATATGTCATCAGATTTTAAAATTTCCTACAACCATAGGCTCTAAGGAGTTATCTAGATTGAACTATTTTTAAATTACTGTTCATATAAATTGATCAAAACAACATATATATTATCTATTTTGATAATTATTGGCATTAAGGATAAAATTTCATTAGAAATGTATCTCAATGGTGAGCACATTGGGTTCTTTTTTTCATTAGTTAAGGTATGTGTGAATAAGTAAATTATTGATTAAATGGCACAACATTCAGTATTAATCCAATTCCTATTTTCTAGGAGGTTTCTAGTGCTGAGAAACCTCATCCTGATAAATACAGATTCAAACAAACTGTCAAATTCATTCTGAGTTATATGCCAAAAATTATACATGGATATACTAATTAAGTTATTTTAATGATCTATTAGCTGCCACTCAATTTAGTCTTCCTTCAGTTTTGTTAAAATTGGAGACTTCAGTCCAGTTCAGTTCAGTCACTCAGGTGTGTCCGACTCTTCCTGATCCCATGAATCGCAGCAAGCCAGATCTCCCTGTCCATCACCAACTCCCGGAGTTTACTCAAACTCTTGTCCATTGAGTCGGTGATTCCAGGTGATGCTAGGAATTGACTCTCTCAATAGCAAGGTGATCAAGCCAATCAATCCTAAGGAAAATCAACTTTGAATATTAATTAGAAGGACTGATGCTGAAACTGAAGCTCCAATACTTTCGCCACCTGATGCAAAGAACTGACTCATTGGAAAAGACTGATGCTGTGAAAGATTGAGGGCAGAAGGAGAAGTGGGTGGCAGAGGATGAGATGGTTAGGTAGCATCACTGACTCAGTGAACATGAGTTTGAGCAAACTCCAGGAGACAGTGAAGGACAGGGAAGCCTGGCATGCTGTAGTCCATGCGGTCACAAAGAGACATGACTGAGCAACTGAACAACAACAAAAGTACCCTTTGTATTCTGGTTGTTGTTCCAGAACTAGAAGTTAAAATGGCAGAAAAGTTATCATCATAATAACCAAAGTGGTAAAATAAATGTTTATGAATGAATAATAAACGTGCAAAATTTAAATGAATTGAAATGCTACTGAGAAACACAAAAGAAGACTTGAACAAATGAAAAGTCATTAGCTCTTGGTAGGACTCAGACCAGAAAGATGTCAGTTATCTCTAAGTGAATCTATAAATCCAATGCAACTTCCAGTAAAATTTCTAGCAGAATAGATATTTGATAATAAAGTTAAAACTAGAAACAAAAAACAAGAATAGCTAGAGATTCTTTCTCTCAAATATTAAACAGGTATTCAAACAGTGTGACACTGGAAATTGAAAAAACAAAGCAATAGAATATAATTTAAAGTCTAGAAATAGACCCAAATACATGGCAGGATTTACTGTATAATAAAGATGCTATTTAACATTAGTTGGAAAAAATATTCAACAAACTAGGTAGTCACAGTGAAAAATTAAGTTAGATTCACACTCACAGTTCAGTTCAGTCACTCAGTCATGTCCGACTCTTTGTGACCCCATGGGCCACAGCACACCAGGCTTCCCTGTCCATCACCAACTCTGGGAGTTTACTCAAACTCATGCCCATTGAGTCAGTGATGCTATCCAAACATCTCATCCTCTGTCATCCCCTTCTCCTCCCGCCTTTAATTTTTCCCAGTATCAAGGTCTTTTCCAACTATTTGTACTCACAACTTATACCTACATAAATTCCAGATGGATCAAAGATTTAAATGTAAAAATTGAAAATGTGTAAGTACTAGAACAGATTGTATTATTTTGGGTTCAATCAGGAGACAGAAACCACAGTAATTTAAAAAAGGAAAATTTATATAGAATATTTTAACATAGTTTAAGCTATTCAGCTATGCATGCATGCTTGCAGGCTGAGG